GAAACTGCTGCAAATAAGGCAAGTTGTGAGATGCTTCGAGAAATTGCAGAACAAGTAAATACAGTTGCAGAATTAGAAACACTAATGAGCAGTTTTGATAATGAAGACAAATTGGAGAAGTTAACCTGTAATTATTTTGGCGTGTACATTTTTGAACATCTCTCCCAACGCTTTGAAGAAAAGATAACTCAAATAAAAGGAACGGAAATAAGCCGTGATACTTTTAAAACGATCAAAGATTACATAATCGGATCAGTTGCCTTATTGAATACTACGACACCAATCAGTAGAATAAATTGGCAAGGTGATCAGGGCAAGATAGAAATCGAAAGAATGTTTGAATCGGTAATAAAAATCTTTGAATAATGTCAACAAAAATTCACATACAAAATCCTAACTACAATTCAAGTTCTGGTGAATTAAACCTTCACCTAACATCTGTAGGAAGCAAATCAAACGGAACAGCTGAAGTTCAAATTGATTTTTCAGATCTTTCTTTATTTGCTAATCTTGCATCTGATGCAGCTTTGGATTTCTTTATTATCTCTGCTTGCGTGTATTGTGTTGATAGGTTTGTTACAAGGCGCCGAAACTCAGTAGATGGCTGGTCGCGGGAACTGTTTGTAACTTTTCCAGTAAAAAACTTATCAATCTGGGCCACAAATAAGGAAGTCCTTGAGAAATCACTTTCATTTTTGACAGGAGATTATTGGACAATTGACTTTATACAAAGTCATTTCAGTCTACCACAAAGCGCAATGATTTCTCAATATACACAACCATTTGCCCAGGTGAATCTATTTTCTGGAGGACTAGATTCACTAATCGGATGCATTGATTTTCTTGAACAAAATGCAACAAGCAAAGCTTTGATAGTTTCCCATTATGACCCTCAAATGAAGGGGCCTAAAACTGATCAAGAGCTTCTGTTAAATGAGATAGAAAGAAATTACCCTAATAGAATTGTCCATTTACCATCTGTAAAAGTGTGTCTTAATAATTCGACATTGCCGAAAGAAACTACATTTCGAAGTAGATCAATATTATTTATAGGGATTGCAGCATTAGTAGCACAACCACTTAATCTACCTATAGTAATACCTGAAAATGGAAGCGTGTCATTAAACTTTCCTTTGAGCGCATCTAGAAGAAGTGCTTGCAGCACTCGTACGACACATCCAACTTTAATCAATTTATTAAATGAGCTATGGCAAGGTTTAGGAATGAGTTTGTTTGCCGACAATCCTTATAAACATGAGACAAAAGGTGAGATGGTTAATAATTGCGGTAACTTTACGTTGCTAAGTCAAATAGTTCATTTATCAAACTCATGTGGTAAACGTGGGCATAGAGTGCATTGGGTGACGCCTCAAGCAACACATTGTGGTGTATGCATGCCATGTGTGTATCGCCAGGCATCTTTAGTAGGTATAAATGACACAACTCAATATGGTACCAGCATCAATCAACTTTCCTTTCACAAAAAGCAGGGCCAAGATGTTGGTGCGTGTTTACGGTTACTTAGTAATTCCCCTTCTTTGGAGAAGATTAAACAAGAATTAATTATTAATGGACTTACTGATGTAAGTTCATTGAACAACTATGTCTCCGTTGTGCAAAGAACGATTGAAGAATTGAAAGCTTGGGTGCGTTTAAAAGGGAATAGTAGCGTAAAAGTTATAGCTAACATTTAATGAGAATAGATTCACATTGTCATATCGATCTTTATCCCAATCCCATTGAGCTAATAAAGGAATGCGAAAGTGAGGGAATATTTACCATTGCAATGACCAATTTGCCGTCTCATTTTGAACAAGGTTTTGAACATTTATTGAGGTTTAAGAAGGTTCGTCTTGCTCTTGGATTACATCCCTTATACGCAGATAGGCATAAACAGGAAATGCATCTTTTTTATAAGAACTTAGATAAAACATCTTATATAGGGGAGGTAGGTTTAGATTTTTCAAAGGAAGGAATATCAACAAAGGAAATACAAACAGAAACATTTAAAAGTATTTTAGAGGCGGTTCGTGAAAAAAAAAAGCTGTTGAGTATTCATTCAAGACAAGCGGAAAGAGAAGTCTTACATCATTTAGTCACGAATAGAATTAAACTTGCCATCTTTCATTGGTATTCAGGTTCATTAAATGTAATCAGCGAAATCATTCATTTAGGATATTATTTTTCAATAAATCCAGCTATGATAACTTCACTAAATGGCAGAAGAATTATAAGT